GAATTAAATAATAATAAAACAACTCCAAGCTTGTAGCATTTAAATCAAATACTGACCCACTGACCTGTTTTGAAATTGGAAGTTCTGCTTTGATATTTCTTTCTCTAAACTGAGACCGTCTGCTTTGGCAGCAACATATAAGCAACCTGTGACCAGAAGCTCCCCCGCCTTACAAACATTTAGAGCATCTCCAGCTGTTCCAAACCACAAACCTCCTAAATCTATGAACGAGCCAAACACACAGTATGTCTGTTTATAACACTCTTCAGTGTGGAAGCTCTTCCTCTTAGTGATTCTCTCACACACAGATTTGAACTCTGCTGCTAGGTGATAATTACAACAGCAAAAAGCTTACTGCAACTTTCTTTTTAAAATCATTTTACAGTTATTAAAAAAAAGCAAAATTGGTTTAAAACAGAATCAGCAGAGAACAGCTGAGGTTGAAAAGCAGTAATCAGTCTGACATCAGTATGTCTATGAAAGAAATGGAAAAATGGCTTCTTTTCAACCTTGTTTGATTTTTTGAGGTTTGCATAGTTAGTAAACTGTCTGGGGCACAGAATGATGTTTGTCCGTCCCTCTCCAACCTTTTCCCCCTCTGATCCAACCTGAAGTACCTGAGCTGAGCGTATTGGACAACAGCTGATATCGATCCAAAACTGTTTAGTCTAAATGAATGAACTGTATATCTTCTATTTAGGTGAAGGCATCAGGCTATAAGTAAGAGATATAAATCGTCACTAGCTGCTGTGCTGCTCTGCTTGATGATGTAATCAGCATTGATAATATAGAAATAAAGAGACTAGATCACTGTAACTGTATTGCTGTTGATCATATGAACAAAAACAGAAATGACTGAATCCAAATACTGGATACTGGGCGTCATTTATCCCATAATAGATCCATCTAAATAGTTGATATCGGAGCAGATAATGGCATTATAAATTAACTCCCATAGGTTTTTTTTTTTTTTTTTTGCCAATTTTAGCCTGTTTAAGTGAACATATGCTTCTAAGTATTGACATGATATTCCTTTTTTTTTTTAGGGACAGAATATATTGCCTTGGTGGGAACTGAATTTCATATAGATAAACTAAAAACTAAACTACCAAAAAAAAAAAAAAATCATACACATATACACACACATATATCTAACATCTCTGTTGGATAGTGTCTCCCACTCCATGCATTAAGCTGTTGCAGAATTAGGGAGAGCTCCTTCAGTGAGGCTGCTGCACCCTAAATGCACCATGGAGCGTAATCACAGATCCTTCCTCCCGGCAGCTATAAGACTCTAGAACCACCACTGTTCCTAACAACCTCAATAAGTTGTTCCATTCATGCTGATTTTTGCACAGTTTCTACCTTAGTCAGTTAAATAACCTGCTGCTGTCATTCTGCACATCTCTGATGTTGCTGCTATTTTCAAATATCCATTACTGTAAAAATGTTCACAGCTGTATATTGGTTATTTCTCCAGGTGTACAGTTTGATATTATTAGAACAATTAACAGTACAGAATATAATTAAAAAAATTTTTTTTTTTATGTCATTATTGGAAGGCTTCTTACGTTAGCCTGCCTTGCTGACATCATACCCATCTCCATTCCACCAATCAGGGACTCACCTTCAGGCAGTCTGGAGGTGATGCTGCTTGTGTCACTTTTCACTTACAAACAAACCCATGTCTAACTGCTAATGTTGCTAATGCTACAGCTAATGGGAGCACATACACATATCAAATTGTAGTGCGTATCCTTAATAGAGAAAAAAATGGGTATGAAAAAGGATCG